CGCATCAAAAGAAATGTACAAAAGTGATTTTATGTCCATAGAAAGCACATTAAATGTAAGTAAACTGTGTACTTTTAAGGTTTCAAATAAGTTTTTGGAGAATAAAATGTCAAAATATAGTTGAAAATGTTACATTGTCATTCAGTGTAACAATATATATGTAAAAATTCAAACAACATGTTTATTCTGACGTGTACATATTAAAATATATAAAAGAATAAGGGAGCGTATTAAATTTGATTGTGTTTTAAATTCTTACTGACAAATGGGCCGAACCCTAGGATAGTGGCACATTTTAGAAATGTAAAATTACAGCTAATTAGTATTTTGGGTGAAAGTAATTACTCTTTTAATATGTCATAAATTGATTTTTGTTGTAAATATGCCTGACAAGATTGTTACACTGAATGACATTTTAGTGGGTCTCTTCTGTAAATCAGGGAAAAATTTATATATTGCTCAGAAAAACAAAAACAAAATTGCAATTCAATTAAACAGAAATTGTTTTAATTTTTTGGGGGGGAAAACAACAACAATTTAGAGTAGTATTTTACTTATTGTTTTTATGCTTAAACCCTTTTTCATCTTTGACCCACATATATACAGGTGCATCTCAATAAATTAGAATGTCGTGGAAAAGTTCATTTATTTCAGTAAATCAACTCAAATTGTGAAACTCATGTATTAAATAAATTCAATGCACACAGACTACTACTTCAGTCTGTGTGCATTGAATTTATTTAATACACGAGTTTCACAATTTGAGTTGAATTACTGAAATAAATGAACTTTTCCACGACATTCTAATTTATTGAGATGCACCTGTATATTCTCAAATACTGTATAAAAGACATTAAATTGTAATTTCTCAATTTTTGTTTTTTGACTATTTTTGATCAAATAAATGCAGCCTTGGTGAGCATAAGAGACTTTTCCGAAAGTATTTAGTTTCCAAAAGTAATATAACTGACCACAGACTTTTGAACAGTATTGCAAATATTTGTTAATATTCTGCCATTTAAAACCATTTATTTTTAAGATCTATAATTTGTCAAATGCATAAGTTTTAAATTCTAGCATGTCTGTTCAACACCTTACACAATCTTCACTGCTTGTGCCAGTGTTATTTTAGTATTATTTATAAACTATTAGTTTTTTTTAATATTTTGAATTATTTTATTTATTTGAATTTTTCATTTTTAGTCAGTTATTTGCTTTTTTTGTTCATTTTAAATATGACTATTTAGTTTTTATTTCACCTCCAGTGCTTCTATTTTTAGTGCCTCAACTTAAATTAGAAATGTTGCCCAACTGAAATAAGTTCAAGCTTTTCATTTAAGATTTACATTTTATTTCAGCTTTATTTCAATTAACAAAAATGTTTTAGTTTACAACAGTAACCCTGCTTGTGACATGACACCTTTGTAGATTATAGCTTGCTGCATCAAGTAACCAAATGTAGTTTGATTTGATTCACAAATGCCATGTGGACGGCTTTAAGCAATTCATTAAAAACAAACAGATGTGAAGACAGCTATTCTTCTCACCTCTTCCGTCCTGTCATCTTCTGAATGATGTTTGCGACCAACTTTTCTAACGAGCTCCTCCTCACTATCAGAATCACACAGCATACTGCCGGAGCTCTCTGGCTTTTGAGAACCTTTCCTGTAAACCACCGATTTAAAACACATGAGTATGAATCAAGACTAAATACTCTTAGCATGCACATCAGGGGGCTGCTCTCACCGTAGTGTTGAAAAGTTGACTGACTGTGACATCTTCAGCGTCCTGGAGCTGAAATGAAATCAGCCATTAGTGAGTATGAAGGGTGTTACACTTAACGAGAGCGAGTAAAAGAGTGAGTCTTACATTGCCGTCTGTGCGTTCCAGCCGAGGCTGAGAGGGGGGCGTGTGGCGTCAGTGCAGTGTGAGAGCAGCGTGAGATATTTGGGGATCAGGACTTGTTGGCCCAGCTTGCTGTTTAAAGACAGCTGACTATTGTAGCTGTAGCGTTTGAGATGAAGAATCAGCACCCTGCAGAGAAAGAGTCATTCAAATGTTTTCATTTGACCACAAATTAATCTACACAACCTAAAGTATGTGTGTCTGTTCATTCCAACCTGGGAAGCCTGCTAAATTTGTGAGAGACGGTCGCTGCTTTTCCACTGCATTTTTCACAGGAATACTCAATCTCCTCCATCTACAAACACAAAGTCAACAGGTAATGAACACTTGAGTAACATACTGTGAAATTAAATTCATCAAATGAATCGATCTCCTCAATCATTGTAAATGCCGGTCTGAACAGACGCGTTAACAGCCGTTTATCAAATTAAAACGTTTATCATTAAACATTCATCTTGGTGTGCACAGGACTTTAGTGTTTTGATCATTCACATTTTACAGCTGGTATGATGCAGCGTCTTACCCTGAAAAAGAGGTCTAAAGAATCCTGTATGGATCTCAGAAAGAGAGTTTTTTTCCTGCGCAGCAGGTCGATGGACAGGTCATTGAACTGCTCACGCTTCGTCACCACCTCTCCACAGCTGTTCGCCAGAGGAAGAGAGGACTGGGTCAGTATGTCAAGCACATAGTTATTACAAAACATATTAAAAATCATGAGACAACACATGGCCTCTTTTTTAAACTCTGCCAACTCACCTTTTACATGTTATGGTGTGCTGCTATATATATATATATATATATATATATATATACACACAGTAATATATATATATATATATATATATAATGAAAAACAGAATTTGGGGGAAGAAATAATGCATTTCATAGAGTCCTATATTAATGGGATTTAGATACTCACCCTTGTAGTGGAGGTTGCGGCTGAGCCAATGTGGATGGTCTTGGTTTGTTCCAGCCACCATAGTCAGCTTCGGTAACCGCACCAAAGGGCTTCCGGTTACGAAGCAAAGACTCTCTAGATCAGGGATCCTCAAATCTGGCCCACGAGATCCACTTTCCTGCAGAGTTTAGCTCTAACCCTAATCAAACACACCTGAGCATGCTAATCAGTGTCTTCAGAATAATTAGAAAATCACAGGTAGGTGAGTTTGATCAGGGTTGGAGCTAAACTCTGCAGTGCATTGGCCCTCCAGGGCAAGATTTGAGGAACCCTGATCTATACCAACGGGCAATAAAATTGTTTATTATGTAGTTCTGTCGTCATCCGTCACTCAAGCTCTTTGAAATCAGATTCTGATTGGCTGTTAATGTTTTTGTCGCTCAGCAGCTGAAACAAACTGTTCTGAATGTGATTCCAACAAAATCACTCCTCTGTGTCGTTAATGTTATAGTAAAGAATAATGATTATTAAAACAGGATAGTTATCACTGGTGTGAACGGGCCTCAAGTCAGATGCATCTGCATTAGCAATAAAAGATGTCACATGTCTTACATTCTGCATGTAACCAGAGAAACGCTCAGCTGTTGAGGAAATAGCGTTCTTTACTCGCCGCAAAAGATCTTTCTTCACTTCTGGAGGGGAGATGTCTTTCTTAGCCAGCAGATGAGCAAAACGCCTTCACATGGAAACAAAAACACAACATCAACAGGCTTGTGAGTAGATCATTACATTTCAAATGTTTAATGAATGTTTAAAATAGTCCAAAAAGTATCTAGTTTAGATGGAAAAAACAGCATGACCATACCTCAGAAGGGCATTGACGGGGACCCTCTTCCATGGTATGCCCTGCTTTAACAGGTCATTTGAAAATGAGGGCAGGCTGAAAAGTGACTGGAGTATGGCGTTCATGTAACAGGTGTTCCCAAGATTGGAGAATCTAATGGACAATTAAGTAACGGGCATTTGATGAGCTAAAGAAAAAATAGCGCAAAACAGTTTTCCCCCATTCACTATGGCAAAATAATAGTAATAACTGTAATTGTGCTACAATATATTACACACACATATACATGTATGTATGTAGGTATACATATATACAGTAATATACATAACCACCTCTCCACAGCTGTTCGCCAGAGGAAGAGAGGACTGGGTCAGTATGTCAAGCACATAGTTATTACAAAACATATTAAAAATCATGAGACAACACATGGCCTCTTTTTTAAACTCTGCCAACTCACCTTTTACATGTTATGGTGTGCTGCACTTCAAACTCCATGTTGACTGTAACCGGGCAGGTGTAAATGCGTGAGGTGTCCACCTCCTCTGTTAACCGTGCACTCTGAGGCTCCTCCCAGGCCGAGGGCTCGTTCTTCCAGCTTTTGTTGATCTTCTCCACATCCTCCTTCAGCTGGTCTAGACACTGACTCAGGAACTCATGGGCATCCTGGGCACAAACAGCTGATTGGCACTTGCATCATATGAACATAATATGACAGTAAAGCCTCATTCACACCAAGAACAACTACTGTAAAGACAATGAGAACTATATTAGCATCTATACCAGGGATCCTCAAATCTGGCCCACGAGATCCACTTTCCTGCAGAGTTTAGCTCTAACCCTAATCAAACACACCTGAGCATGCTAATCAGTGTCTTCAGAATAATTAGAAAATCACAGGTAGGTGAGTTTGATCAGGGTTGGAGCTAAACTCTGCAGTGCATTGGCCCTCCAGGGCAAGATTTGAGGAACCCTGATCTACCATTCGTCCACCCTTGTAGTGGAGGTGGCGGCTGAGCCAATGTGGATGGTCTTGGTTTGTTCCAGCCACCATAGTCCAAAGTTGGGCGCACCTTTTTAAAGGGAGTTGAGTGATTGGGTAACATTAGGCTTCTTTTAGCAGAGGGACATTGGCCTGTACTGCTGGGCATGTAAAGGGAAAAATAATCAAAACAGACTTGTGGTTTCGTAACCGCTCTGACGAATTCAGCACAGGATTCAATAAAGTGATAAATAATTGTTTGAGATACTCATTAATATAACTGGCTCATAAAAAATTGTGTTTGTGAACTGGACTACACAAGTCAAACTGCATGTTTGTGTACTCTGCTGTGCCAGCATTAACATTACAGAGTAATTTTTATCACATTCAGATTACATTATTGCTGTGGCATTGTAAATTTAGCAGCACAATCACAGAACTTGTTCTTAGAAAGCACAGGCTATAGACAATGAGTAACAACACTGAGTCAGTGACTCTACCTGTCCAAAAGGGAATGGGTCTGAGAGTAATCTTTAGTTACTGTTCTGCTCCCATAAAAGGATGTTGGCTGGAGAGGGGCAGGCGTGTGTGGAGCTGAGGAAATTAAGAAATAAGCATGTAATAAAGTCAAGAGAGAAGCAGCTACAGTAGATAAAAGTCGAATGGGTACTTACCGGTTGCTCTGTTCTCCTCTGACTGCTTGAGTTTGTCTTTGCAGCTGAGCAGAAACTTTCTGGATGCATCTGTGATGGCCTTATTGTTGCTAAAAACAGGCAAAATTAGAGAAAGTTTAATTTTGAAACAACAGATAGCTAGAATAACCTCTCAGCCAAAAAGATTCGAGGACCAGAAATAACTGTTGTGTGTGTGTGCATGTATGTATGTATATTATATATATAT